AAAGTCACAATTGTATTTCCATAGTCCTCTGACTAGATGGAGAGGGGGTCATCTGGGCTCAGTTTTTCAAATAATATGTATCTGGATCAAAATGGTCTAAATTTGGTTATCCCATGGATTATTTGATCTCTCTTACTTTTTTTTAAAGGAACACTGGGTTGGATCACTGTGATCCAAATACCAGATTTCAGGATTACCAAATCCTGTTTACCAGAGCCTTAAATAGAACCAACAGTGTAGCCTACTGGCTCAGCAAAGAACAACAGGTAGGCAAACTACTAGTGGCCACAACCAAACAAGCAAGACAGCCTCACAGCAAGAAGGTCAAAAAAAATAATAACTTGACTTCTAGACGATCATTTAGGAAAGTGTCAGAAGGTCAATTTTCATCTGTTAAACTGCATCCCAATCATTACTAATACTGCAAAAGACCTACTGGCTGGGCAAATTCTTCAGCAGGATAGCGCTCCTTCTTATACTTCAGCCCCCACATCAAAGTTCCTGAAAGCAAAGAAGGTCAAGGTGCTCCAGGATTGGGCAGCGCAGTCTCCAGGCATAATTTATTTATCATTTTTTATGAGGTTGATTAACAGATTTATGCAAAAAAGTTTTCTTTGAATATTTATCTCATCATTTTATTTTTACTAAAGTTTAATTTAGAGGCTGTTTTCATACTATCATCTCAAAAACATTGCACCAATCAGATGCTTTGTTTCCAGTGAAGACTTAGAGTGGATTACTGTAACGGCCTCCTCACTGGCCTTCCCAAAAAGACAGTGAGACATTTGCAGCTGATCCAGAACGCTGTGTTCAGAAGTCTGACCAGAAGCAGAAAATCAGAGCACATCACATTAGTCCTCAGGTTTTTACACTGGCTCCCAGTTACATTCAGAATAGATTTTAAAATATTATTACTGGTCTATAAATCACTACATGGTGACAATCAATCCATTACAGATATGCTCACTGAATACAAACATACCAGATCATTCAGATCCTTAGGATCATATAAACTAGACAATCCAAGAGTTCAGTCAAAGCGGGGAGAATCTGTTTTCAGCTATTATTATTAGCTCTTTTATAACCTGATTTAACACATTTTAATCGATTTTTATCGGTTTTTAATCGTTTTTATTTTCTTGTATATGTTTCTTTTATTCCTGTTTATGTAAAGCACTTTGAATTGCCACTGTGTATGAAATGTGCTATATAAATAAACTTGCCTTGCCTTACTTTTATCCAAATATAAAATCCGTTCATGCACATTCGAGCGGGTCTAAACATTTATAAATTTCTTTCTTCTGTTTGACACAAGAGAAGATATTCTGAAGAATGTTGGGGAAAAAGCAGCAGAAATAAAAATACTATGGAAATCAATAGCTGTTTTTCCCAAGATTATTAGCAACCTTTTTTTGTGTGTTCAACAGAAGAAAGAAACTTAAACAGGTTTGGAACAAGTGGAGGATGAGTAAATGATTGCAGAATATTCATTTATGAGTGAACTGTACCTTCAAGCTTAGCCAAGGGAACGTTAGCAGAAACACAAAGAAGAAACAAACAAAGTCTCTACATAATTTCCATGTTTCATTTATATTGTTGCACAGTTGAAAAAGAGCTTGGCGAAATAATAATTGGATAAAAAAAATGTTTACAGCACGGTGGCTCAGTTGTTAGCACTGTCGCCTCACAGCAAGAAGATCACTGGTTCAAGTTTCCTTGGGTATTCCCCACAGTTCAAAGGCATGCGCTATAGGTGAATTGGATGAACTAAATTGTCTGTAGTGTGTGTGTGATTGTGAGAATGTGTGGCTGTTTCCCATTACTGGGTTACGGCTGGAAGGGTGTCCTCTTCGTAAAACAGGCTCGGACAGTTGTCAGTTCATTCCACTGTAGTGACCTCTGAAATAAAACCTAAACCGAAGGAAAATGAATAAGTGATATGACGACTAGTTTGATCGTTTAGTTTTAGTAGCTGTTTTCTGTAAGTAAACACAGGGTCAGAGATGTTGTTTCAAAAAGATACTGAGAATTGTTTTATATTCTGTAAACCGATGAGACTAGTGAGTCTTTAATAAAGCAGCTCCCAAAATTAATCATGTGAATGTTTCACACTGTGAAGTAGAGATCTGCGCAGGGCGAAATTTTGAATCCCGCTCCCGTCAGGTTTTAGTCCGAACCCGACCGCTCCTGCTTATGTTCAGCATTTGTTGTCCCGCATGCCTGACCCGCCCTGTTTTCTACCCTCCGCGCCCTTTCCTGTTACTCGAAGGGGGAGAGACATAACCGAAAACCACCCAGATATACAGAGTCCAGACAGCCTATAACAAGCTATCTGTATAAACACATACACACACACACACATAGACACACACCATCAAGCAAGTGACAGACAGCATCACACTCTCTCTTTCATTCACACACACACAGCACCAACCTCTCTCTCATTCACACACACACACACACACACACACACACACACACACACACACACACACACACACACACACACACACACACACACACACACACACACACACACACACACACACACACACACACACACACACACACACACACACACACATAGACAGCAACAAACAAGCTAAACGCAGCATCACAATCTCTCATCTACACGCATACATACGCGTGTTTGCTCGGGAGTCGGGAGCGATATTGTTAGACCGTCCAGTCCCGTTCAAAATATACCAGTTACCGACCGCTCCCCTGCTTTATTCGGAACATTATTCCGGCGACGAAAGAAATCGGGTCGGGTACCGCGGCTCCCGAATGCAGACCTCTACTGTGTGAAGTTTATTTCTAAACTAATTTGGAGAGGATCACGTGCTTATGATTGCTTGCGGCCGGTCTCGCATTATTCAATTTATGATTGACCAATCAGACGATTCCTAAGACACTATAAATACCCTAAGTTCCATATGACGGCCACCTTCGTTTTGAAGAATCCCCCCTTCCACCCCTACTCCTCTTCCTTGATGGGTGGCACGGTGGCCCAGTGGTTAGCACTGTTGCTTAACAGCAAGAACGTCACTGGTTCAAGTCCTTACCAAGGCAGCTGACGTTTATGTGCGGAGTTTTCCCCGGTTTCCTCCCACCATCCAAAAACATGCAACTTAAGACAATTGACTAAAGCAAGTCAGCACCATAGACATGCTCCTAGTTAGTATTTATCTCTTAAGAGCAATTACTGTCTGTTTATTAGCTACTACAGCAGGGGAGTTCTCGAGATCTACCTGAGCTCAAACTCCCCTCTCGCCTTGGAAACGGGATGGAGCCCCAGGCTCGAGGATCTTATGAGCTCAGGGCTCTCTTCCAGACAGCATGCCAAACAAGCTTTATAATCAATCATCAGCTAAGTGTGAACTCTTGAAAAAGATTTATTAAATCACATTCTGTACAGACACAAAGTCATGGCTACAAAAAAGATTAAACCTGAACTTCACAAAATATACACTGTTCAGATTTATTATCTCTAGTTGGCTTTATCATATCATAAACGGTATTTTCCTGAGTCTCACTACATGCAGAACATGTCACTGATGTCCATAAACAACATAATGATGGACACTCATGTTCATCTGGAGGTTTAAGATGCTACAAATGAGGCGTTTCTAGTACTTCGTCCATTATTTTTTATATTCAAGTCCTTAAACACCTTGATCCTTCCTACTCATGTACGGTAGTCAACATGTACGGATCATCACCTTTCATTAAAAGAACACTCCACCTTTCTTTAAAAATAGGCTCATTTTACACTTTCTGAATCCTTTCAGCTGATCTTCGGGTCTTGCAGGGGCACTGTTAGCTTAGCTTAGCATAAATCATTAACTCGCATTAGACCATTAGCATCTCACTCAAAAAATAAAAAATAATTGTAATTTTGACAAATTTTCTATTTAAAGGTCTACTTTCTGTAATTAAATCCGAATGATGGAAAATATGGCGAGGTAGTGGCGCAGTAGGTAGTGCTGTTGCCTCACAGCAAGAAGGTCGCTGGTTCGAACCTCGGCTCAGTTGGCGTTTCTGTGTGGAGTTTGCATGTTCTCCCTGCCTTCGCGTGGGTTTCCTACGGGTGCTCCGGTTTCCCCCACAGTCCAAAGACATGCAATAGAGGTGAATTGGGTAGGCTAAATTGTCTGTAGTGTATGAGTGTGTGTGTGAATGTGTGTGTGGATGTTTCCCAGAGATGGGTTGCGGCTGGAAGGGCATCCACTGCGTAAAAACTTGCTGGATAAGTTGGCGGTTCATTCCGCTGTGGCGACCCCGGATTAATAAAGGGACTAAGCCGACAAGAAAATGAATGAATGAATGATGGAAAATAAAGGTTGGTTTTTTTTAATGTTTAGTTGCGAAGTCTCTTGATAACTAGGCCAGAATAAGATTAAAGTTCCTAGCCATATCAGCGTAGAAAGTAGCAACCTCTCATTTTTCATTGGTCTTAGTACATGATGTAACTACAGAAGAGTAAATAATAGAAAACTGTTAATTAACAGATTAAAACCTTTTTACATTCTTTGAGAGAGATGCTAATGGTCCAATCCGATTCAATGATTTATGCTAAGCTAAGCTAAAGGTGCTCCCATCAGATTGGCTGCATTGCAAAACTCATTCATTCATTTTCTTTTCGGCTTGGTCCCTTTATTAATCAGGGGTCGCCACAGTGGAATGAACCGCCAACTTATCCAGCACATGTTTTATGCAGAGGATGCACTCCCAGTTGCAACCCAGTAATAGGAAACACCCATACACTCTCATTCACACACATACACTACAGACAATTTAACTAACTCAATTTACCTGTACCACATGTCTTTGGAGGAAATTGGCGCACATGGAGGAAACCCATGTGAACAGTGGGAGAACATGCAAACTCCACACAGAAATGCCAACTGACCTAGCCGAGGCTCGAACCAGTGACCTTCTTTCTGTGAGGCGACATCGCTACCCACTGCGCCACAGAGCTGCCCTAAATGGTAAAACTCAATAGTTTAACTCAAGTAAAGATGTAAAATGAGCCTATTTCCAAATCAAAGTAGACTGTTCCTTTAAAATTGCCCTAAAACTATCGAACAACACCCATTCTAGTCTTAGGACTTTAGGTTTTGTCCTAATTTTTCTCTACCAAAAAACAAAATGTATTCCAAGAATTCCTAAGTCAGACTTTGATGTGTGTTTTGTTTTGATAAACCGGATGGTGTGCTGTGATTTTAGCTGACCGGTAATCCAGGATCAGACATGTGTTTCTGAGGGTCTTCTGAATGTGATGACGTGTCTAGTTTTCCAGGTAATGAAGGAAAGCGGAGGGACACGCAGAGCATCGGAGCATCCATCAGAGCGGGCTGAAGTGCTGGGGTTGAAACACTGGTAGTTTCAGGTACGCAGTCGTCTGATGCAGCTCCCATGTGAACTCCACTGGATAGAGAGCCCTGGGAATTTGCCTTGAACATGGATTCAGGCTGAGCTGAACTCTGAAAACAAGGATCAAAAATCAGAGTGTAAATCAGATCATTTGGTTTACTGTTCGTTTTAGCATCAAAATCACTAAACAGCTCAACTCACATTCACATTTGATTGTCTTTAAAAGGGTAGTTCACCCAAAACTAATAATTCTGCCATCATTTAGTCACTCTTGTTTAAAACCTCTTTGGGTCTCTTCTGTTTAATACAAAAAAAAAAATATTTTGAAGAAAGCTGGAAACCTGTAACCATTGACCTCCATATCGTTATTTGTTTTTTCCTACTATGGAGATCAATTCAAACATAAAGGTTTGGACTTAAGGGTGAGTATATGTTCACTTTTGGGTAAACTATCCCTTTAAGTGTACTGTGGATGTTCTTTAGGTAAAGGTAGTAGTATTGAGTATATCTCTGTATTTGAAATGGCATAAAAAAAAAAACATTAGGCATTCATCAGGCCAAATATGACCAAATATGATCATTCTGGAATGTAAAAGGCATTTATACTGTATCTTTTCCTACATAAAGACCACATTTATACAATTATAATATGAATATACATTCATTGGCCACTTTATTAGGTACAACTGTCCAACATTCGGAGGGTAGGGTCAGAATTTGGCATCAGCAAGATGAAAGCATGGATCGATTCTGGCTTGTATCAACGGTTCAGGCTGGTGGTGGTGGTGTAATGGTGTGGGGGATATTTTCTTGGCACACTTTGGGCCCGTTAGTACCAATTGAGCATCATATCAACGCCACAGCCTACCTGAGTATTGTTGCTGACTAGTCTATCCCTTTATGACCACAGTGTACCCATCTTCTAATGGCTATGGAATCATCTCAGACTGGTTTCTTGAACGTGACAATGCTCAATCCAATAAAGCACCTTTGGGATCTGGTGGAACGGGAGATTCGCATTATGGATGTGCAGCTGACAAATCTGCTGCAACTGCGTGATGCTATCATGTCAATATGGACCACAATCTCTGAGGAATGTTTCCAGTATCTTGTTGAATCTGTGCCATGAAGGATTAAGACAGTTCTGAAGGCAAAAGGGGGTCCAACCTGGTATTACTAAACGTGTATCTAATAAAGTGGCTGGTGAGTGTATATACGTTTAAAATATTAGTGGAAAAATATATTTTTATTATTAGGAAAAAAATCACATGAAATGTTTTCTACTTATTAAAGTACAAACTTATTAATTAGTTCACATATTTATTTACCCTTTAATATATTTTTGTATTTCATTTGTTTAATGTTTATTTCGGCAGTTTTCATTTGTGATTTTGTATTATTTGATTGATCTAATCTCATTTATATTTATTTAATCACTTGCAATGTATTCAAATCTAATTCAATTATGTTTTCGCATCAATTATCTCAGAAATATTTAGGACTCTTTTTTGCTTTTTAAGTAGTATTTTCCTTCTATTGTCTTAAATCATGATCATTGTTTCTACTGTGTACTGTTCAGTGTTCTGACACAAAAAAAATTATGAATGTTTTGAATGTTTACTCCCTTTAAAAGGACGGTTTGCTCCCATGATTTACTCATTCTCCACTTGATCCAAACATCAAAAAACATAAGCCACAGCCATATCACCCTGCAGCCCAACACCGGTTACTTACTGAAGCTAAGCAGGGCTGAGCCTGGATGGGAGACTACATGGGCCAGCAGGGGGCACTCAACCTGCGGCCTGTGTGAATCCTAATGCCCCAGTATAGTGAAGAGGACGCTATACTATCAGTAAGCGCTATCTTTCAGCCGAGGTCCTGACTCTCTATGGTAAAGAATAGGGGTGTAGCCAAATTCCCCCATCTGCCCTTACCCATCATGGCCTCCTAATCATTCCCATTCATTGAATTGGCTCTTCACTCCACCTGTATAGCTGGTGTGTGGTGAGCACACTGGCACCGCTGTCCTGTGGCTGCCGTTGCATCATCTAAGTGGATGCTGCACACTGGAGAGACCCCTGCCCTGCATGACTGTGAAGCACTGGTTTGGCCATACACGATAAATGCGATATATGAATACACACATTACATTACAAACATGATTGAGTTTCTTGTCAAAAGAAGATATTTGGCAAAAAAGAAGAATGTTGGCAAAAACAGCCATTAACTTCCATATTTTGTTCAAAGTACCTACTTTAGTTGTCAATGGCTCCATTTTCCCCAACATTCTTCAAAATATCTTCATTTGTGTTCAACAGAAGAAAGAAATTCATATGTTTACAATCAACTGAGTGAGTAAATGGTGAGGAAATCTTCGTTATTGGCTGAATTATCCTTTTAAGAACACACAAATGGTCTTTTGTATCATAATATTATATCATCTATGACTAGTTTTTAAGAAATACACTTTTAAGATCTTTTGAAGTACATTTCAAGTGCATAACCAATACAATTAAGAACACAAGACCTCATTTACTGTCATCATTGTCACCTGAATGGCAGTGTTTGTGTCCAGCTGAATGTTTGGGATTGGGTAGAGGCTGTGAAGCACCGGTGTGTTGTTTCTATACAGGGCCGTGGGGTCAGGAGGGTGTCTGTCAGGTAAAACTGTGCTGTATGCTGGAGGAACAGGAGCCATCTGTCGCTGGAGAAGCTGAAGGATCACATTGATGTCTGTAGTCATTCTCGTCTCCAGCCTGGGGAAAAATGTATTGTTTTAAGCTACAAAAACAGCTATAATTGCCATTTTCAGTAGGGTATAATAAATAATCTGATGGGTGTTTTGAGCTGAAACTTTAGAGACACATTCTGGAGACACCAAAGACTTATCTTACATCTTGTAAAAGTGGTCAAATAGAAGCCTACATTAAGCACATGACTTATTGAATGAACATTCTGGAATTTATTGAGTAAATGGGTTTCCATTGTAGTTTGTGCATTTTTTTCTTATCATATAAAAAGGATATCTTACTTCTTGTGAGCATAAGTTTTTTATACATACTCTTAAAATGTATGCCCATCTTAGTCTTTCTCTTGAGCTTTTTTATGCAATATTCCAAAACTAAATTAAAAACTAACTTAGACTAGTCATAGCATTTATATACTGCTACTCTCTGATGATTTGAAGCTCTTTTTATGCTCACTTGCTTTGGATAAAAGTGTCTGCTAAATATATTATATATTTAAAAGACAATGGGCAAATGTTTCTTCTTAATGTCAACAACACAAACCAGCTGCAGTGTTTGAGGGTCAAAGTAGACATTCAGTGGCAGCCAATGAAATCTATAGACAGCATTACAGTGCATATTAAAAATAAAAAAGCTGAAAAATTACATGTACAGAAGTATTGACAGCCTTTGGCGTGAAGCTCTAAATTGAGCTCAGGTACATTCTGTTTCCACTGATCATTCTTGAGATGTTTCAGCAGCTTAATTGGAGTTCACCTGTGGTATATTTAGTTGATTGGACATGATTTGAAAAGGCATACACCTGTCTATATAAGGTCCCAGGGTTGGCAGTGCATGTCAAAGCACAAACCAAGCACAAAGACAAGGGAATTGTCTCGAGGCACAAGGCTGGAGAAGGTTACAGAAAAAATTCTGTTGCTCTAAAAGTTTCAAAAGTTTTTAAGAGTTTTCTCATTACTAGGATGATAACATCCCTACAGTGAAGCATGGTGGTGGCAGCATCATGCTGTGGGGATGTTTTTCAGCAGCAGGAACTGGAAGACTAGTCAGGATAGAGGGAAAGATGAATGCTGCAATGTACAGATACATCCTGAATGAAATCTTGCTTTAGACCGCTCTTGACCTCAGACTGGGGGGGACCGTTCATCTTCCAGCAGGACAGTGACCTAAAGCACAACGCTAAAATATCAATAGAGTGGCCTCACAACAACTCTGTAAATGCTTTTGAGTGGCCCAGCCAGAGCCCAAACCTAAATCCTATTGAACATCTCTGGAGAGATCTGAAATGGTTGTACACCGTCGCTTCTCATCCAACCTGATAGAGCTTGAGAGGTACTGTAAAGAGGTGTAGGCAAAAATTCCCAAAGACAGGTGTGCCAAGCTTGAGGCGTCATATTCAAAAAGACTTGAGGCTGTAGTTGCTGCCACAGGTGCATCAAAAAAGTATTGAGCAAAGGCTGTCAATACTTCTATACATGGATTTTTCAGGTTTTTTATTTTTAACAAATTTGCAACTATTTCCAAAAAGAAAATTTCTCATTGTCATTATGGGATATTGTGTGTAGAATTTTGAGCAAATAAATGGATTTTGGAATAAAACTGTAACATAAAAAAAATGTGGAAAAAGTGAAGCGCTATGAATTATTTCCGGATGCTCTGAATGCTGATTTGAAAAGGCTCAAGGTAGTTAGATCAGTTATGGAAGTGAATACAGTTTATTTGCAGAATTTATTTATCTGTTAGATCTTTACTTGGATCATTTAATCTTTTTAGACTTTGTACATTGACAAACATCTACACTACACTGTGTGAAAGGTAGTGGGCTTGTAAAAATGAACTTTCACTTTTGTCTTCCCACATTGATAATAAGATATATAACAGACCTGTTGAGTTGACTATGCAGGAGATCCAGTCTGGCCTCCACTTCACCGGGTTGATGATCTGCAAAGATCTGCGGAGGGAAGGAGGTCTGGATAGATGGAGGTCTCAGAGGCTGATCACTGAAATGAGGTGTGTGGGGGTCAGGCCAGTAATGGTACAGTCCAGATGGAGGACGAGCTTGTGTTAGAAGGAGATATGTCATATTAATATTAATAATATTAATAGTAATTTCCAAAACGTTTATTGGAAAAATCCTTATTCTGCATTAGACATGCCATGTGGTGTCTGGTTCGAGGTGAGCCTCTTAAACTAAAGCACAGTGTTAATGTTAGTGGTTTAAAAAGTTTAATAATATGTTAAACAATAGTTAAAATCAATAAAACGTTTGCCTACATAATATTCAAATGAAATGACATAGAATAACAATAATGTATTTGACTCTTACTAATCAAACTAAATTATTATAAAATAATCAATAAAAAATATTTTTAAAGACCTACCTAAAAAAATAGACCCAAAAGTGTCATTAGAAAGTGGAATCAATGTATTTACCTTGTATTTACAAATACAATTGTATGATTAACCCTAAGAAGACAGTTTACAAGAATGCATTTTAATTCAGTTTTAAACTATGAAATTATTTGTAAATTAGTATTAATTCAGAGGGGCGTCACGGTGGCGCAGTGGGTAGAACGATCGCCTTACAGCAAAAGGGTTGGTTCTTATGTGCTGGATAAGTTGGTGGTTCATTGCGCTGTGGCGACCCCTGAATAATAAAGGGACTAAGCCAAAAAGGTAATGAATGAATGAATTATTTAAAAGGTAGTACAGATATTAAAGTAAAAGCGCCCAGTAGGTGATGGCACTGTGAGCAAACCATTAATGGATCAGTTAATAATTAATAATAAAACTGATTGCATCTATAGATGACATACTTATTAGGTAATATGAGAAGATTTAATAAAGAATTTTATTCATGCTGGAACTTTTACACATATACTTACAGGCCACTTTATTAGGACACCTGTCCAACAGCTGGTTAACGCAAATTTCTAATCAGCCAATCAGATCGCAGAAAATCAATGGATTTAGACATGTAGACATGGTCAAGACGATCTGCTGCAGTTCAAACTGAGCATCAGAAAGGGGAAAGAAAGGTGATTTAAGTGACTTTGAATGTGGGATTGTTGTTGGTGCCAGACGGGCTGGTTTGAGTATTTCAGAAACTGCTGATCTACTAGATTTTCACACACAACCATCTGTAGGGTTTACAGAGAATGGCCTGAAAAAATATCCAGTAAGCAGCAGTTCTGTGGGCGCAAAATGCCTTGTTGATGCCAGAGGTTAGAGGAGAATGGCCAGACTGGTTTGTGCTGATAGAAAGGCAACAGTAACTCAAAGGCAGATTCGCATCATGGATGTGCAGCCGACAAATCTGCAGCAACTGCATGATGCTATCATGTCAGCATGGACCAAAATCTCTGAGGAATATTTCCAATATCTTGTTGAATCTGTGCCATGAAGGATTAAGGCAGTTCTAAAGGCAAAAGGTGTACCTAACAAAGTAGACGGGGAGTGTAATTTATAATAAAAAATGTATATTCATATTCATAGCAGCATCAAAGTAAAGATAAATTATTTATTGAGTAAATAAACTGAATTGATAAATGAAAAGGTTGTAAGTATGTACAAAACAATAGTTTAGTCCTATTCTTAGTAACGTAAACATAATCAAACTCAGAAAGCAGTTCACTATTGAAAGAGAAACATTTAGACACGTCCAATAATTTAATAATCTTTAAACACAACGTGCAATGCTAATATTTACAGCTGTAAGTTTTCCCGAGAAGTAAGCCACCCATTCAAAGATAAAACAGAACTACCATTACACTGCGTTCCAGAAAGGCGGAAGTGAAGTGATGTCATTGTGAAAAGGGTCTATTCTGTTTCTGGAGGTCACGATCTAAAACAATTCTTAACTTACATTTTTTCCTATTCATCTGTGATATGTCTTTTTACATCTTTACATTTTAACCAGAATTAGAGTTTCTAAACTTCACTCATTCATTCATTCATTTTCTTGTCGGCTTAGTCCCTTTATTAATCTTGGGTCACCACAGCGGAATGAACCGCCAACCCATCCAGCACATTTTTTATGCAGTGGATGCCCTTCCAGCTGCAACCCATCTCTGGGAAACATCCACACACACATTCACACACACACTCATACACTACGGACAATTTATCCTACCCAATTCACCTGTACCCCCGGAGCACGCGGAGGAAACTCACGCGAACGCACGGAGAACATGCAAACTCCACACAGAAACGCCAACTGAGCCAAGGATCGAACCAGCGACCCAGCGACCTTCTTACTGTGCGGCGACAGCACTACCTACTGCGTCGCCAGTATCTAAACTTTTATTTATTAATTAAAATCTTTAAAATCATTTATTTAATTAAAGAATTATTCAGAATGAACCAGCTCTGAATGTAAAAAAGCCAACTACAAGGATCAACTATGAAAAACAAACATACTAAATATCTAAATCATATTCATTTTCTTAAAAAAAAAAAGAAGAAAAGAGTGTGCCAGTTTTTCATTTATGATGAGATTTCGCTTTTGGTTGCGTTATAAATGTGGCCACAAATCAGATCAGAAGCACTGTGCCTGTAATGATCCATCTGTCCAAATTAAGTGAAATCTGTAGCATGGGCACCTATTTAGAGATATAACGAATCACAACGCATGGCTCGCAATGCACGTGACCCACAGATTAATTATCTTATTTTTTTTACTTGTAGATTAATCCTAAATTAATAACGATCACAGAGAGATCACCTCCCGCATCATTTAAATCTCAAATCGCATGAATGAAAGCATTTTGGCTTCCCTAATGATGACAGAGGAGGTTGTGGTGGCACCTAAATGCCTTCTTAGGTTATTAAATGGTTTTCTGGCACTACTTTTTTAAACCTGCATTATTCGATTAAGAACTTTTCAGAATTGATCCAGAATACATTGATTTTTCTTCCACCCCATACCAAGTACTGTATACTCACCCATATAGCCCATTTCCACACCGATCTCTCTGCTGACCCCGGAGGCGCTGGGTGGAATGAGTCTGCCAGCAGGTGAAGGGTAGTCCAGATGTTCTGTGTCAGAGGTGCACAGCTCACAGTGGCTGAGGTTTTCACTGGACTGCTGTGTGGAGTAGCTGCACAGATCCTCCCAATGCATGTGAGCGGCTGCAGGATGATGATGATGATGATGATGATGATGATGAAGACCCAGAGCAGAACACAGCCGAGACGAGTCATTCTGGTCCATGCCATCTGCAGCACCCCCCAAAAAAAGTTACTGAATACTGTACTACATTTTTATTCATACGCTTTTTTTTTTTTTTTTAAAGGGCACTTATTTTACCCCTTTTACAAGATATGAGATAATATTTTGGTGTCTCCAGAATGTGTCTGTAACGTTTCAGCCCAAAATACCCATCAGATTATTTATTATATAATGTAGAATCTGCCTGTTTTGGCGTTTGAGGACAATTTAGCTGTTTTGTAGCCTGTGGCTTTAAAGAGCCATGAAACCAGCCATTAACCAACAAAATGTACTTGTGAGGCTTTTATAGTGGAGAATGTAGTTGTTTAGACTGCAACTATGCAGTTTATTTGTAAGAATAGTGTCTATTTTGAAATATTTACAATTTCTGAGAGAGTTTGTCTTTGTAGACCAAAGACGGTCAACATTTTTATCCACAAGATGGTGAAAGAACCGCTAATAAGCCTTTACGCCCGCCCTAACCTGCTGCATCTTATCCTGGCTCTCTACAATGTTATAGGGTATATGCCGAGCTAGTGTTTTTCCCGTACTGATAAACTTCCGGTGACCTGTTATTGTGAGTTTTTTTCCATTTTATTCGATTCCTTTCACAGCATCGATGTTGTAATGTAATTAAGATACAATCAGTTAAATAGACTTTGGCATTTATTTAGTTGCCCAAGTGTAAAACATCACAAAAAGCTGTTTACTCGCACGCGCCAGTCAGAATCGGCAGGCTAGCGCAGAAGCTCCATTGAATATACTGGGGTAAAATAAATGCTTATTTTATAAACACATGGTGGGGAAAAATGTAATGTAATGCTCGCATTTCAGGAATGTGTGTTGTGTTGGCAAACAGAAAGAAGCAAAGTCTGCATTTGTTTAGAGTTCCTTATCGCAAACACAACAGCAGTCTGGTAGTGATTGCGTTGCATTTTTCGGGGATAATTATTGTGATTTCCCGATTGTAACAGAGAAATACTTTAGACTGTAAAACTGTAAGAAGATATCTCTGTAGATGGATGGCATTTCATGTCACGTTAAGCCTTAAAATCTTAGGGCTCTATTATGACGGTCCATGCGCAAAGCGCAAAACGCAGGGCGCAAATGCTTTCAGGGCGTGTCAGGACGCGTTTTTGCTAATTTAATGACGGGAAATCTGCCTTGCGCTTCGACGCATGGTCTAAAAGGATTGAGTTTATTTTCTTAATGAGTTATAGGTGTGTTTTGAGAATAAACCAATTACAGTCTCATCTCCCATTCCCTTTAAGAGTCAGCTGCGTCGCGCCAAGAGCACATTCGCTATTTACAGGACGCAAAGTAAGTCTTAGTGGAAAAAATGAGCATTTCACAAGCAAACAGTTAACAGTTAACAGTTTATTAACAAAAAACTGTTAAACAGAGCATCTACTGCGTGAGAATGAGAGATAATGGATCTACTTTCACTTTCTCTCTTGGATAGGGAAACCTTTATGCACAGACATCAATTAGTCTATAAATAATTAATTTTGTTTGTTAAGCACAAATATTCGTTTCAAAACTATTTCTAAATTCAGTTCTAATTTCCAGCAAACGAATAAATGAATAATAATAGCAAAATGTGCTCAAAAACCTGAGTTATATCCTAAAACACATGCTGTGCCCCATATGGTCTAAAACCTGCAGGTGGGCAAATCTAAGCTTGTTTTTAATAAAAAAAACATATAAATATGGATATAATAAATAATACTGCTAATAATAATAACATTATACAAAAGCAAATCGTTATGAATGAACTGAAAAAGCCTCCCGAGATGAGACATAAAAGCAGTGGTTTTACATATTTATGTAGGCTAGAACATAATATGTTTTGTAATATTTTAATCCTTTATATTTATATCCTATATCTATTCTTATTATATCCTATATATATCCTTAATATTTACATTTTTTCATATGTAAAGATATTTGCCTATTGCTCTCTTGTGCGTATTAAGCAGTGCGTAAGCGAGGCGCAACTCTGCGCCGGAGTTTAGACCGGGTTAGTTTTGGTCTAATGAAAAATCTATTATAGTTCCTCAAAATAGCAACGCACCAGCAATGCGCCTCAGAATGCCTTCCTTTTTAGACTAGAACGCCTATGAGGGCAAAAATGAGCGCTAATGCATTTGCAATTTAAACAGCGTAGCGCAACACCTCAAAACGACTCTTGCGCCAAGCTTAAACTACCACAAGACTACTGCGTCACGCCTTGCACCACACTGCGCCAGGTGTATGATAGGGCCCTTAAAGTGAGCAAAATCGGTTCGTCATAACTTTAGACATTACGCTATAGAGAGTTATTCAAACACTGGCTCTAAAGTGACGTTAGTGAACCAGCCATGAAACCACCAGTATCATTTTTGTTAATTCGGTGAGAGGGGAAAACTGCACCCCTACGTCACGTTATGTTATCTTAACCTTAGTAAGTTTGAAAAAAGCGACTTGTGTTTATATGGCTGTGGACACACTATACATACACATAGTTCTGTCAGCTTACAAAAGATGATTTTGCATCATAGGTGCACTTTTTTTTTTACATCTGGCAGAAAATGAGTGCATAAATTGTCACTAAGTGTGAATTATACTTGTGAATTATAAATGTGAATGATATTTTGCAGATATTTGCCAGATTTATAAATGAATGGCAATCGGAAATAACGTTCCCCATTCACACATATGGCATATTGATCGCCGTGTTTTTGAAATAGTATACACTGTTGACTATTGTGCACACTATTTATAAACAATATATATGAAAATATACTGATGACGAGATCCAAAGAGACGTTAATAACATTAACATCTGTCGTAACCATATGACAGTTCGCCCCTCCCTAGTTCATGTGGCCTGGATTGTGTGTCCTGAAACGTGTGTTGGTCTGCAGGTCTGCAGTTGGATATTATTCTGCCCTGATGATTTTTTTTTAAACCCTGCAGAAACCATGCATTAGTTTGACTTTAAGTAAAACTATGTACTTTGAAAATGAACTTCTGGAAACCCTTCAAAATGAAGTCTTAATGAGTATCTAAGGGTGTACTCACACTATGTAGAGTAGCCTTGAACTGTGCCAAAGCACACTTGTAACCCCTCCTGTCTCCCCCGACAGCCAGCACTCACATTGCATTCGAGCCTGAGCACACTTACGTCATCGATGATGCGCTGTTCAGTTTAAGAGCGATAACGCTCAGCACAGTGGAGATTTCTTCAGGAATTAAGAGGTTTGCTGAAGGTGAGGCTGATGCACATTGAGGGTTTTGCGTCTTTAATAAACTACGATAGTTTGTGTTCATCGAAAATTAAGAATGATCAATAAATCTATAAAAAACTATCCTTTAAAGGTCATGTCTCATCTTCAGTTTCGGGCTCAGACGCGCTTTACACTCAAACTACAAGTGCCCAAGTGAACTGCCAAGTGAACTCTGGCACCTCTTTTCCATCCGGGCCAGGGCCGGCCATCTGAACCGCGCCTGAGTCCGATTCAGAGCACTCACAATTCTCTAACAATCCGGGAAATGCAACTGAGCACGTTTTTTTTTGTGAGTCTGATACTCACCGGGCCTGTTGCGTCTGTCCAGTAAGTTTTGACGGTGTCTTGCTTGGTAGCTGCACTCCAAACTTTCACTTGGCATCATCTGTTCAACCTGACCACAAAACAGTTAAAACAGTGATTAGCTGTACAGAGAATTTGCTCCAACTTTTTCTAATGTGTTTCTATTATTACATCTCCTACATCTCGCAGGTTAAAGGTGATTTCCAGGTTCCTCCAGAAGCTCTCGCCAAAAGCAGGGTACATGTCCAGCACCTCCAGAAGGTCATCTCTTCTAATACGATGAAGGTCACAGTAGGTCAGTGCGGTTACATCAGCATTACTGTGACCAGGTTCTGCATAGAGGTTTACAGGCTCGCCAAAGACATCATTCTTACCTGTAGGAGAAACAGGACAAGACATTTTTATTATGGAACTCAGAAAACAATCTTGAAAAGACAAAAAAATGTCAAGCTAAGAGCTGACCAGAAAGAATGGATAGAAAATTTAAAAGCTTGTTTTTTAAGTAGTTTGACACTTGTAAAGTTTTGAATTCAAAACAGATGGATGGATGGATGGATGGATGGATGGATGGATGGATGGATGGATAGATGGATAGATGGATAGATAGATAGATAGATAGATAGATAGATAGATAGATAGATAGATAGATAGATAGATAGATAGATAGATAGATAGATAGATAGATAGATTAGATTAGCACATGCATTAACAGATTAAGTTAAATGACTAATTTTGGCATAATTTAACCATACATTTAGCACATACATAGCATGATACACCATATTGCTAACATGTTTGTAACATATCTTAAAATGTTACTAAAATGATTTAAAACATTGTCAGTATGTTTCCAGCATGATTTAAAACTTTTTTTTAAACTTGCTAAGGTTTAAATGTTGCCAAATAATTTACTAGCATTGTAAGCATTTTTAATGAGTGTATTATTATATAGGGCATTGCTGATGTTTATATTGTGATCTAACATGTTGCGATCATGTTTCTAACACGAATCAGCAAATTTATAATGTTAGCAAGAATTCAATGTTTCTGTTTACAGCATGATTTAGCTCATTGCTAGTATGTGTTCAGCATGAACTAACAAACCTTTGACATGTTTTAGCATGTTTACTTACATGTTGCTAGTTGAACATGGGAATAGATATGTTTTCACATGCTTACAGTCTCATTTTTAGCATGCTTTAACATTGTTTACATAATTTTTAGAATGTTTAACATTGTACCATGAATTAGCACAAGGATATTATGTTTTGGATGAATTAGCACATTGCTAGTATGATAGCCGGCAGCTAGCTCTCACATGGTCACCCACTGAAGCTAAGAAGTACCTAAGGTCAGTGCCTGAATGGGAGACCACATGGAAAAGCTAGTTGTAAGTGGTATTAGTATCAACCTGTGGTCTCTGTGGGTCCTAACGCCCCAGTCTATTGAAGAGGGACTCTATACTGCTAAGTGAGCACCCAGTGGCGTAGCGGACGGGCCCGCAGGGCACGCACCGCGGGGGGGCCCCGCGTGATTAGGGGGCCCCGCGTCGTCGTGATTTTCAATAATTAAAAATCCACCGACGAACGCAATAATCAAACTCTTGGGAACAACTGTGGTCGGAACCAAAGTTCACACGTCTGTGTTCTCTGAACACCTCTCAAGCGGTGGACTACTTTATTCTGATTGCTTGCCACCAATGTTGCCAACTTAGCGACTTTGTCACTAGATTTAGCGACTTTTCAGACCCCCTTAGCGACAAATCTAGCGACTTTTTTGTGTGTTATTGGAGATTTTTTTAGACATTTGTCCATACTGTACTGTCCCTACTCTTCTCAACGAGCTGCGTGTGATGCCGCCGGCCCCTCCCTCGCCTCACAGCACTGACAGGCAGCCCAGTCAGTCCTCGTACAGCAGCCTCTCCCACCTGCAGCCCGAGAGCAGATCAGCCCTCTGCGTACCGACGACAAATGATTTAGCACAGGCAGTGTGAAGGTATATTTCCCTTGTACAGTCAAACCGATCTACTTCTACTTTATTTTAACAATTTAATTGGACCGTTTATTATTTTCTTGTTCACAATCACAGATATTTTAGTGACAGTTTCTGAACTTGTCTGAGTTTATTACAAATGAGAGATTACTGCACATTCACTACATATCTATAATGACATACTGTATTCAAACAGCAATAAATTTAGTTAAATAAACATGCTTATATAAAGTGTAGTGCAATTATAAATACCCCTTTATTAACCATAGGCTGTTAAACAAACAGAAACGGTAGAACGTGATGACGCCAGTGATATGCAAATTGACGTATGACGTATCCCCCCCCCCTCATCAGGGGGCCCCGTTAGCGATCCCTGCAGGGGGGCCTCTGCATTTTGCGCTACGCCACTGTGAGCACCGTCTTTGGGATGAGACTCTTTTGTGGTTGTTAAAAATCACAGGATGAAAAAGATTATCTTAATTCTGAAATATTATAAGAAAATACTGTGAACAATTCCTTGCTTTGTTAAACATTATTTGGAAAATGTTTGAAAAGGAAAAAAAAAAATCACAGGAGGGTGAATAATTCTGACTTTAACTGTATATAGGGAGTATTAAGGGAACATTTTTAAAGCCTAAAGTTGCTAAAGCTGGGATAGCAATCTCACCTAGTATGGCCAGCACAATGTTATGTTGGGACACTTGAATGGAGCCACGGGAGATGAAGTGAAGGGCTCTTAGCATGTCACCCTGATGGTAAAGAGCGTCTCCTGGAGGAGAGTGAGTGCTTCTGAAGCGGACGGCGAGAGCTCTCAGACACGCTTTACTCGCCCCACGAAACACCTTACAGTTCTGCAGCAAACTACGATTCAGATGCAGGCAAATATCAGCTTGCAAACACTCTGGAAACCCTTTCAGGACCTACAATTAGAAAATATGAAGCATGAACAAGTTTATTTCACAATTTTATCTCAGTACCGATCAAAAGTTTGGGGGCAGTAGGATTTTTAATTTTTTTAAATAAGCAGCACACCAAGGCTTTATTTATTTAATTAAAAATACAGAACAAATTGTGAAATTTATTGCTCTATAAAATAACTGTTCAACAGTAGTTTATAATTTCATTCATTTTCTTGTCGGCTTAGTCCCTTTATTAATCCGGGGTCGCCACAGCGGAATGAACCGCCAACTTATCAAGCAAATTTTTACGCAGCGGATGCCCTTCCAGCCGCAACCCATTTCTGGGAAACATCACACACACGTTCATACACACACTCATACACTAAGGACAATTTAGCCTACCCAATTCACCTGTACCCCATGTCTTTGGACTGTGGGGGAAACCGGAGCACCCGGAGGAAACCCACGTGAAGGCAGGGAGAACATGCAAACTCCACACAGAAACGCCAACTGAGCCGAGGTTCAGCGACCCAGTGACCTTCTGGCTGTGAGGCGACAGCATTACCTACTGCGCCACTGCCTCGCCCTAGTTTATCATTTAATTTAATAATTTATTCCAGTGATTTTAATTATGAATTTTCAGCTTCATTACTCCAGTCTTCAGAGTCACATGATCCTTTAAATATCTCTCTAATATTGATTATTATTATTACTATTATTAATGGTAATAATAATAAAAGCAATATTGACTGAAGTAATGTTTTCATTTGAAAGTACATTCAGTAAGAAAGCAGTTACTTATTTTTTTTTTACATTTAATAAATGTTGCCTACATAACCAGAATACATTTCTAAAAAAAAAAAATAATTAAAACATGAAAAAAATGAAACTGACCCTAAAATTTTGACCGGTAGTGTATACAACAATATAGCTTTGTCTGTATGACTTACAGCGTTCATATCAATGCCATTAGTGTAGGACCAGGCATGTTGGAAATACTCCTCCAGTCTCTGCCTTAGACCTCCAGGTATCTGATGAAAGCGGATGAATTCTTTAACCCGCAGCATCTGGGTGTGATAGCGAGTTGTTCCCGAATAAAGCCTCTGAATTATTGCTGAGACATTCCCAAATATGCTGGCATACATGAGAGCTAAGACAAAAAAAAAAAAAAAAAAAAAACAAGAGGAAAATATTTAGTGGGAAAAGTAAGCAAAGGCAAGACTGTTCCAGTTTTAATTACCACTATAAAAAAAAGACATTCATATAGGTGATTTTAGTCAAAATGACTGTTTTTACCACAAGATGGCACTGTACTAAAACATGCTACTAACCTCAGATCATGATTGTTAAAACACTCAAGTACATATCGACTACATATACAAACATATATCTACATATGCTAAAGTGCTGCTGAGATTTAGTCACAAATCTTCTCTGGTGAACTCATTAGATTCACTGAGGCATTATTGGAGAACACTTTGATTTATCAACCTCCACAATATCTGTTGCTGATGATTTTTATAATTTGTTCAGAAAATTTTAATTGCTATAAAATGTAATGACATTAAAATAAGTCACAGGGCTTTTCAATCAAAGCATCTTGAGCCAAGAAATTAGGAGTGAAAATGAGATAGAATCAATAAATGGTCCTTCCATAGAAATGTTTGTCCATACAGACATCACGCAGCATCATGTAGTTACTGTAGATTTGTTGGCTGATGTGACTTTCCTGTTCCAGCACATCCCAAAGGTTCTCTGTTGTATTGAGTTCTAGTGACTGTGAAGGCCATTTGAGTATAATAGGGATGCACTGAACTGTCAGCCGCCAAAAAGTATTGGGAAAAAAATGGTATTTTTGGCTGAAAGAGAAAAAAGTATGTATCCTGCTCCGCATTGTCCACCAAGCAATGTTTAGCATACTGGTTTTACTCCACCTCCAGCAGTAAACACATATTGTTTTTAGAACATTAAAATGAACATCAAATGAGTGTGTCTTTTACACCAGATGCAGAAAGCACTGCTCTATGAAACCTATTTATTTTATTGTGTTTTGCAAGAGCTGGTTTGACCATGGTCAAAGTTCAAAATAGCACTATATTCCTCTGTGGAGTATTCAAGCTTAGTTTGAGGGCTTAAATTAAACATCATCAAAATGTAGCCATGTCAGGATTTTTATTTTATTATTTTGTAATTGCAATGCTACATTTGTTGCAGTTTTGTACTTTGACTCTTAAAAAGTGAAAACTATGTAAATTATAATATTAAGGTTTAACGCAATTGTATTAATTGTAATTGTAATTGTAATACCAAATATTGTACTTTAATTGAATTGAATTGAATTTTTTTGTATTATATGTCATTTTGAGCAAGTAGCTTTAATGTAATTAGCTACTATAAGAAAGTATTTTTTACTAGTGTGGCAAGCTATTTTTAGGAAATAACTTTGTGTAGTTAGCTACATTTTAGGAGTGTATTTTGACAGTAGCTTAGCTACTTTACCTGATGAGTAGCTTGTAGTTATCAAGCTACAGCTTCAGAGTAATTTTCCCAATATTGCTTCATTGAACCATACTGTAGATGTCAATAAAGATCTGATACTTTTTAAAAATGAGGCCTAACAACATAACATTCGTAGGCCCTTTTATGTCTAAATGCTACAATAAATGACAAAAATCCTGTCGCCTATAGTTTTAGGAATAACAAATAATAACTTGACTTCTAGTTGATTATGGGGTATCAGAAGTGGCTATTATAAAAGGCAAAGGCCTCTCGATTATGCTAACGTTTACAGTTTTACTCAAATAAAATATGATCATGCCTTGATTTTTAATTATTTAATCGATACATCTCTGCAATGACTCAAATAACTTATTAATAAAGTCGTCTGGAATGGCAAAGGAAGCTTTCTTGCACGACTCCCAGAGTTCATCAAGATTCTTTGGATTCCATTTCAGTGCCTCCTCCTTCATCTTACCCCAGATATGCTCAATATTGTTCATGTCTGGTGACAGGGCTGGCCAATTCTGAAGCACCTTGATCTTCTTTGCTTTCAGGAACTTTGATGTGGAGGCTGAAGTATGAGGAGTGCTATCCTGCTGAAGAATTTGCCCTCTGCTGTGGTTTGTAATGTAATGACCGACACAAATGTCTTGATACTTCAGGCTGTTGATGTTGCCATCCCCTCTGCAGATCTCTCACATGCCCCCATACTAAATGTAACCCCAAACCATGATTTTTCCTTCACCAAACTTGACTGATTTCAGTGAGAATCTTAGGTCCATGCGGGTTCCAGTAGGACTTCGGCAGTATTTGTGATGATTGGGATGCAGTTCAACAGATGATTCATCAAAAAAATCTACCTTTTGCCACTTTTCAAAATGAGCAACTAGAAGTCAAGTTATTATTTGTTGCTCTTACAACTGGCATATGTCAGCGTAAAACTGACTACATAAAAGAATTTTATGTAGTTACTTACAGCCGATGAACATGACGCAGATAGAAAACATTTTCTCAGAGTTGGTGTTTGGAGAGACGTTCCCAAAGCCCACGCTGGTCAGACTGCTGAAGGTGAAATAGAGCGCAGTGATGTATTTATCCTGAATGGAGGGTCCTGAGCTAGCATCGCTGTCGTTGTAACGTTTCCCTAGTTGATCGGCCAGGTTATCCAGCCAGCCTGTTTTCATGTATGGCCTCTCCACATGGCCAATGGCATACCAGATACATGCCAACCAATGAGCGATCAGCCCGAAGGTGCACATGAGCAAGAAAAGGACTGCAGCTCCATACTCTGAATATCGATCTAATTTTCTGGCTACACGGACCAACCGGAGCAGACGGGCTGTCTTCAGCAAGCCAATCAGAGTGGCTGTTGTCTGCAAAAATTAATAATAGTTAGTTTCATACAGGGTTCATTATCATATAATGATTTTATTCATTCATTTTCATTTTTCACTTATCCAGCACGCTTTACACAGTGGATGCCCTTCCAGATGCAACTTAGTACTGGGAAACATCCATACACACTTATTTTACACACATGCACTATAGCCAATTTCATTCATTCATTAATTTTCCTTCGCCTTAGTCCCTTATTCATCAGGTGTCACCACAGTGGAATGAACCACCAACTTATCCAGCATTTGTTTTTTGCAGCGGATGCCCTTCCAACTGCAACCCAGTACTGGGAATAATCCATACACACTCATTCACACACATACACTATGGCCAATTAAGCTTATTCAATTCACCTATAGCGCATGTATTTGAACTCCAGAGCACCCAAAGAAAACCCACGCGAACATGGCAAGAACATGCAAACTCCACACAGAAATGCAAATGGTCCAGCCAAAACTCAAACCAGCGACCTACTTGCCATAATATTTTTAAAAGATATTTTAAACATTGTATTAGACAAATACAAACAAGTTTACCTTTAATTTGTATAGGATAGTGGAGGTTACAGACAGGAAAGTGTTGGGAGACGAGAGAGGGGAAGGGTCGGCAAAGGACCTCATGGGAATCGAACTCAGGTCACCGTAAGCACCATGGTACTACTGTATATGTCAGCGCATTTAACCTTTAACCACTAGGCTACTGGCGCAGACTATTTTGCAATATTTAATGTAAACATTAAATGGGCGCCACGGTGGCTAAGTGGTTAGCAATGTCCCCTCAAAGCAAGAAGGTCGCTGGTTCGAGTCCCAGCTGGGTCAGTTGGCATTTCTGTGTGGAGTTTGTTGGCGTGGGTTTCCTCCAGGTGCTTTGGTTTCACTCACCCCACAGTGCAAAGACATGCGGTGTAGGTGAACTAAATTGGCCGTAGTGTATGAGTGTGAATAAGTGTGTATGGATGTTTCCCAGTACTAGATTGAAGCTGGAAGGGCATCTACTGTGTAAAACATATGCTGAATAAGTTGACGGTTCATTCCGCTGTGGCGATCCCTGATGAATTAAGGCACTAAGCCGAAGGAAAATGAATGTATGATAAACATTAAGCGAATGTCTGAAATGGCAGGCCAAAATAATTAACGATGCATTAAAAATTCAGCATCCAATGAGAAGACACAACTCAGAGACTTACACATAATTGCAATACTGTCACTATGAGTGTAAAAACGCTTATAAAAACACCAAAAACACAGGCCCAAATGCATTTCATTAGTTAAAATGGCGTTTTTTCAAGATTTGAGCAGTCCTTGAAACATTTAGTATCATTTTTATTAGAATATAATTATTGAACACCTCAAGTTTTTTCCTAGTTAATACATTTCTAAAGGGGCTGTTGTCATGAAATTGTACCAGATTTTGTAAAAAAATAAATAAAATAAAAATACAAACATACAAATAAAACATGGAACGACACAAGGAGAAACTACTGAAATAAATACAATAAATACTATAAGGCTTTTTTGGTGATGTTAGCTTCAAGACACAACTTGTATAGAAAATGAAGTCACATCCATTGCTCGGACTTCAACAGAGTGTAAAACTCTTGCTAGTTCTGTGGTCTCTTCAATCTACTCTGTTCTTTAGTTTCTATTTTCTACTCAATTCAGGCAAGAAGATTGGCTGGGCCATTATAGCAGCTTTATTTTCTTTTCTGAAAACTAGTTGAGAGTTTTTATAGCAGTGTTCATGATTATTAGCTATGTTTCCATTCAAAAATGTGAATTACCTTTATGCGCAAAACTGGATTATCGCATAAAAGGAGCGCGCATAAAGCAGTGTTTTCATTCAATGAGTCAAAGAGAACAAAATCGTCACTTCCTGATTAAGTGGTGCCAAATATTAACAATAAAAACAAAATTTGCTGCAATAAGAGAAGCTGCATCAATCTTTTCTTTATTTAATAAATTATTGCATCTTAGAAGGCAGTCCTAGAACAAAGTGAATGTGCAGTGGCATTTAAAGACGTGAGACGTGGCGCACAGACGCTCTTGACTTTGGAGGTAATTAATAATTTAATAACACTAATACTGAAATGGTTAAGGCATTTTAGAATGACCAAAACAACATTTCAGAAGTTTTACAGTGTGTTCAGCCTGCTGGTTTGTCCTTTTTTATCATCACATGATCTCTTGTAACAAAATCACATGACTTTTTTTAATGTGGATGGGAATTTCTACAATAAAAGTGTTTCCATCGCAGTTTTGCATCGTTTCTTTTTCAAAAAACTGTTACGACCCTGGTCTAGGGACAAGGCCTCAACATAAAAGACAAATAAAATTCACTTTTATGACCCTTTGGTGTTGGGTCTCTTTATTTGTCTTTTTTTGTGTTTTTCTTTTTTATCACCCAAAAACATGAAGCCAACTACCTCGGAGTGGACCCACGGACAAATAATAAACAAAAAGTACACTCTAACTAAATGAAACTAACTAAACTTAAAATAACAGAAATAAAAATACAAAATCCAGCCCTACCTCCCTGACTGAGCAAAAACAGGAGAAAATATTTACATAAAGTAAAGTGTGGCGTAATCAACCCCTACTGCCTCTTACCGTGTACAAAATTTAATATTTACAATATCAACAAACAAATAATCCAAAAACGAAATAACAGGAGGGGGAAACACAGATGGATATACAAAAATGAGTCAAAACTTACACACCAACAGGGGAAACACAATCAACACTTAGCAACAAGAATAGTTTTTTTTATAGCACACCAAACTCAAAAACAACACGCCAACCAAAACTCTCTCTCTAGCCCCACGCCCGTGTTTCCATTTTTAAAGGACACCTTGGGTGACTCCATCCAATCCCAGGCGATGTCATCTGCATAACTAGGGCGGGGCTTGCAGATGAAAAGAGAGGGAGAGAGACAGACACACACACACAAACACAGACACCTGCCAACACAACAAAACAAACGTTTTTTTTGTGTGCGCATTTTCAAAACTTATGCCCATCTTGGTGTTTTCATCAACCATTTTTTCATGCACATATACAAAATGCACACAAAAATAGGTGGATAAAAATGTATTGTCTTGCTGAAATGTCCACACTGTTTTTATCTTCATCATCTGGTAATAATGAATTTATAAGCGCTAATATTTATATACACTGATGTCTGACGAGGGTTGCTTTCTAACAACTGAGAGTTTTCAGCTGCTGTCTGGGCTTTCCATGCCTTTTTAGACCTCTCTTTCTTCATGTGTTCGATAGTTTTCTGTCATTTCGTTTTACTACACATAACTTCATTTCTAAACTAATTTGTTTTTTTTCTTTGTAGGTGGATTACTTTGGTTGTTAACAACATTTAGTGACATTTAGCTGTAAGTCAACAGCTCCTTAAGAAATATGTTTTGTGAGGAAAAATTGTGATGTGTTCAGTACTTGTTTTACCCTCTGTATATTACACTTTTATACAGTTTTTTGGGATATTTTAATAAAAAAAAAAAATAATAAAAAAATAATATATATATATATATATATATATATATATATATATATATATATATATATATATATATATATATATATATATATATATATTGTTCCTTTAACTCAAAGAGAATGATGGTAAACTCTCTGAATCTGCAGTAACTGTTGTGTTTTCGGAGCTTGCCATGCTTATTTTAGCAACACTTGTCATATCTGCAACTGGTGATGAAAGAGCAAGGTTCTCTTGCTGATCCAAACATCACTAACATGTTGGGAATCACAAAATAAAAGGAATTTAAAACTATACCTCATCTGATCCAGACCTGAAGATGAGCAGATCAAAAGGAATTGCAGCCACCATGTCGATGAAAAACCAGCCTTTGATATAATGTATAGCGATGCGCTTGGGATGGGTCACCACCTCATCATTGTGATTCACGTACGTCGTCCTGAAGGTAATCACGATGTCTGCGATGAACAGAACGTCCACTATCACGTCAACCACGTTTAAAGGGTTACAGGTGTACCCGCAGGTCTGTCTCCTCTCATCCTCGAGTTCATTGAGGAGGAAAGCAGCTGAAAAGGGAGTGAAGACAGCAGTGTAGAGCACTAGCAGGAGGATGACCCAGTCCCATATGGCTTTGAACGGACTGTAGTGCAACATTATCCACTTGTGGACGTCTGGAGCCTGGAGCTTGTACTCAGGCAAGACATCAGCACCTAAAGACAGTACCTGTGTGTGGAAAAGATTAATTTTAGGTATGGGTAGTTATAGAATTCAAAAGTATTGTTATAATGACAGCGGTGGCTGTTAAGTGAACTACAGCCAAAAATGTATGGCTTGTTTGTTCTTAAACATGTACTGTAATGTACAAGCTGCTGATTAAGATTCAATGCCCTGATATACTAACAGTGAAGTTTTTCCTTTTGTTTGCTAATAAGCAACAAAAGGTCATAATGCCTTCAGAGTTATATACTGGTAAAAAAATCATGGTTTGGGGTTACATTCAGTACAGGGACGTGCAAGAGAACTGCACAGAGTGGATGGCAACATCAACAGTCTGAGGTATCAAGACATTTGTGCTGCCCATTTCATTATAAACCACAGGAGAGGGCAAATTCTTCAGCAGGATAGCGCTCTCTCATACTTCAGCCTCTACATAAAAGTTCCTGAAAGCAAAGAAGGTCAAGGTGCTCCAGGATTGGCCAGCCCAGCCTCCAGACATGAACATTATTGAGCATGTCTGGGGTAAGATGAAGGAGGAGGCAAGAGTAATCCAAAAACTCTTGATGAACTTTGAGAGTCCTGCAAGAACGCTTCTTTGCCATTTCAGATGACTTTATTAATAAGTGATTTGAGTCATTGCAGAGATGTATAGATGCAGTCCTCCAAGCTCATGGGAGTCAAACACAATATTAAATCTTTTCCCACTGCACCATGACTTTATATTCTATACTATACATTATTTCTGTTAAGTGACATGACTTTTGTCAAAGCAAAGTCAGACCTTACTGTCCTAATTAAATCATTCAAAATCAAGCATGATATTTTTCATTTTGGTAAAATAAGCGTAATCTAGAAGCCTTTGGCTTTCATATAAGCCATTTCTGATACCAAATGATCAACTAGAAGTCAAGTTATTATTTGTTGTTCCTAAAACTTGGATTGGCGACAAGACTTTTGTCAGGTATTGTAGATGCAGTTTTGTCTCCCAATTACCAAACAAAATGAATACACACATGCTTGTCTATACAGTATATGAAAAGGAAACATAAATATTTATATGTGACCCCTGACCACAAAACCTGTCTAATATTGTAATTCATTTTGGTAACCCTTTACCAAAATTACGCACTGTGAATCATTTACTAAGCATTAGCATAGCGAATTCATTATTTGTTAAGCATCAACTCTACATTAATAAATGTTAGTAAGCAATTTATAACTGCAGTTACAAATGCTGTATTCTAGACAAACTTGTTAAAATTGGTTAAGTTAATGCTTAACAAATAATGATTTAACTATATGCTAATGCTTAATAAATGATTCATAATGTATTGATTATAAAGTGTTACACTTTTTTTCTGCCAATTGACAAAAAGAATATGAGACTGGTAAGAGAACACTGTTGTTATACTTTTATGAAATCATCACCGGATATTTCTGTGTCTCTCTGGCTGCCCCATATCCTGGAGGGGCCACTGAAAATAAACCGAAATGAACTGAAGTGACATGAACTACATTGACATGACAGAGCTCAATATTAAGATCATGTGATGTTTTCTGTTTTTAGCGGATGTGTATAAAAGCTTGACTGTGAGCAAATATATGCCACACAGATTAGGGAAAACTGTTCTGAATAGACTGACATATGAAGGTTTAGCTAAATAACCATTCAAATCATTTCTGGTGTGAGACTGTGAGCAGTTCAACAATGACCTGTGTCTACAGTTTTGGACCAGGGGCCACAGTAGTTATGGATTTCTGTCATGGCAAATAGCCATTTTATTTTGCACTGAGGGTTCATGTCTCTGTCCTAACGATCTTTCCACAAGTGTTTTTCGGCCACATTATTTTCCACGTGCCAGTCACAGCTATGTTTCAGACGTCATTCTTTTCCCAACATCAACTATCAAAAGCACATCATGATAAAAATGTGCTGAAATTTTGAGATCAAGAAGATTTTGTTCGTCAGAAAATTAGCTGGATGTTTTGTGCGCAAGTTTTTAAAGTCTCCTTGAGCTGGAAGTTGCTGAGACTTTTATTTCAGTATGGAATATTGAGTAGGGGGCGGAGCGTTCTTGGTGAGCATTATTTCTTCGTAGTAAACTAATGCTGGATTCACACTAAACATGAAGCTCGTTCTAGTTTACTAACAAGATGTTTTTTCCCTCCCACAAATGTTTTGCTCAAGTTCAATGGACCCTTTACACATTTCAGGGTTTCTCAGTAGCGAAAGTCGTCACAGTTGGGTAGACCTACAGCGCAGTGAATGGCAGAGTACAACAACTAATGCTTTTACAATCCTATTTGCTGAAATAATAAAATAAAAGCTTTGCGATGGTGATATCAAGACTTTCAGATAAAGGAGAAAAATTGTGTGAGACTGATGATGTCATCTAGAAGAGAGAACAACCCGAAATTTACTGTCTGGTTCATAGATGCTGCATAGAATCACCTCGCATAAGTGGTAATTCGTTTTTTGTAGTTTGATGCAAAGATGATGTATTACATGAATAAATTCACTCACTGGCCACTGTATTAGTTATAACATCTCATTTACGCAAATTTCTAATCAACCACATCACACGGCAGAAACTTAATGTAGACATGGTCAAGACCATTGGAATGTGTTAGAACGGGAGATTTACAACTGCGTGATGCTATCATGTCAATACTGAGCAAAATCTCTAAGGAGTATTTCCAGTACCTTCTTGAATCTATGGCACAAAGGATGAGGGTCCAAAACGAGGGTCCTACCCGGTGCTAGTAAAGTGTACCTAATAAAGTGGCAGATAAGTGTACTTATCTTCACTTGTATACACATCTTCAATGTAAATTTATTGAATTCATGAATAATTTGGATGTTACATTAACACTTCATTGCTTTAATCCTTGATTTGTCATTATTGTTTGTTTATTGTTTATGTTCTCTTTACACATTAGCCCGATGTCTTACAAGTATATCTATTTAAGTGTTCTGTCTTGTGTGGGTGGGAAGGGGGTGGAGGGTGGTTAGAAAAGAATGTTTATATGTATACTGAATTGATTCTGTAAATTATCGATGTGAAAAAAAAAATTGAAAAAGATTGATAAAAAATGTTCATATGTTTTAAAAAAAATCAAATTATTAAAAACTTTCAATGTTATAAGATGCTGATGATCCTTAAATGCATCTTCACAGTCTTGTGAAAATGGTCCATTATTCTGGGTTTACACCAAATGCCTAATTAACTATTCAAACAATCAAACTACACACAAAGTCAATGCAAGCATGACAATTGAGGCAAGTTATCGTTGCACGATGGAATTGATGTGGAACGTGTGGGGATAAAGCATTATATTCACCTCAATCATGAACTGAAGTAATTAAACTGAAGGAAAAAACATCCCGTGAGTAAACTAGAGCAAGTGACCTATTTGATATTGTGCAGAGAAAGACCACCACTCCAAACACGGATGGATAGGCTTTAAAGATTAATTTTATTTTGTTTGCAGTGTATTAACTTGCACTGATTAATTGTTCACCTAAAAATAACAATGCGCACCAGTAAAACAAACACTGTAAGTTTTGATTTCACACACACTTTAAATACTCAACATTAACATGAATATAATCTGTCTCTGTATATTCAAGCCTTCATGAAACAAGGAAAGCTTAAAGTTGCATCTTACCTGTGTGACCTTCTCTGTCACATTCTGTGTGCGTTCCTTCACTTTCGGGGTAACCAGCTCAATATTGGAGTGTGCTGTGGAGGGGTTGGATCTTCTGGGTCGACGCAGGTTTAGACGGAATGAATGGAACCTGTTTAAAGCTTTCATCCGCTCAGAGCTGGAAGTTCTGGAGTTCCTCAAACTGCTCTTCAAGCCTTTTTGATTAAAGTAAAATTTAGTGGATTATAATGCATACAGTGCTCAGCATAATTGAGCAGACCTCATTTTGAAAATTAATATTTTTATGTTTCTCAGTGAATATAGGCAATGTATTTTGGTGCATTTGAACAAAACTGATTTATTATACATAGATATTTATATTTAAATAATATTTTAGTCACCAAACATGTTTAGAAATTGAAAGATAATACTATTCATTCATTTTCTTGTCGGCTTAGTCCCTTTATTAATCCGGGGTCGCAACAGCGGAATGAACCGCCAACTTATACAGCAAGTTTTTACGCAGCGAATGCCCTTCCAGCCGCAACCCATCTCTGGGAAACATCCAAACACACATTCACACACACTCATACACTACGGACAATTTAGCCTACCCAATTTACCTGTACCAAATGTCATTGGACTGTGGGGGAAACTGGAGCACCTGGAGGAAACCCACGCGAACGCAGGGAGAACATGCAAACTCCACACAGAAACTCCAACTGAGCCGAGGTTCGAACCAACGACCCAACGACCTTTTTGCTTTGAGGCGACAGCACTACCTACCGTGCCACTGCTTAGCCCTTTCATTAAACATTCACAATCATATTATGACAATTCGTAAATGTGAATGAGATTGTATGAATGCTTATGACAACTGTCATTATGGCTCCTATCATACACCTGCCACAATAAGGTGGAAGATGTGTTTGGGATGATTTCTTGCTTTTTTCAGACCAGCACAACATTAATTTTCACGTTTTGCTCAAAACACACCCATAACTCATTAGGTGAACAAGCACAATCCTGTTAGACCATGCGCTAGGGCGCAAAGCCTATTTTTTGTCCATAAAATAGCTAAAAATAGCTTTAGACTTTGTGCCTAGATATTTAAATAAGAGCCCTTACTGTCATTCGTTCAGTTATTTTAAATAACTGATTTAAATTTTAAATGCAAAGGGGAAGTTTTTGTAATGACAAGCTGACATAGCCAAGTATCATAACCTCTCTTTGTTACGGCAACTTGATATTACCAAGACAACATAACTTGTTATAAATCTGTCATAAACATAATTGTCAAGAGACCATTATAAACGTCATGAAATTATAAGTGTCTTTTTATTTATAAATTCTAATTATAATTTTTTGACCTCAGCTACTGTGAAACAAATTAAATATGCCATTAAAATGTCATTAAATCATAATGACATTGCAATATAATTATCTGTCAGAGTAATTAAACTTTTAATAATAAATTTTAATGACAAATTTTGTTCCATTAAAAAAATGATCAGAAAAAAATTCATGAAACAATTATAATGGACTCATAATGTTTATTTTTATGACAGATTCATGACAAGTTTGTGTTTTTAGTACAGTTGTTATGAAAAATAAAAAACAGGTCATGATGTATTTGTTTATGTCAGGTTGTTATGACAAAGATCTGTCAAACATTGTCACCTTTCCATTTAGAATGACATAACTGAGCAAATGACAATGATATAAGCATTGTCATAATCATGTCATCATGATTTTAAAGGTGTCTTATGAACACCCCTTCAAGAAGAGCTACATGAGTTGTTGTTTGTCCCATACAAGTGTTATTTAAAGGAATAGTTCATCCAAAAATAAGAATTAGTTCATCATTTATTCTCCCTTATGTGGTTTTAAACCTTTTTAAGTTTCTTTCTTCTAATGAACACAAAATAAGATATTTTGAATAATGCTAATTACGTTGACCCACCGACCTCTATGGGAGGAAAAATAATTACAATGGAAGTCAATGGGATACAGCATTCTTCAAATGTCTTTTCTTATGTTTAACAGTAAAAACTCTAATAGGTTATAAAGAAGTGATGGATAAGTAAATGATGACAGGATTTTAATTTTCTTGTGAACTATTCCTTTAACAGATTACATTCACATTAGAATAGTAACCCAACAATAACATCATTCACTTACGCAGATCCTGTTTCACACATTCCTGGTATCCAGAAAATGAAATCGTAACATACGAGCATCCATTCAAAAAAAATTCTCAAAACTCAGACTTTTTGAATCTGTCAGCAATTAGTAACTACAAGCAAAAACATCTGATCATGATGAAATAAAAATGAAAAATCCTCAGAATATATTTCCCCTAAGACTTTTCAAAAAACATGAATTCCATTGTATAAGCTTAAAATCAGCATTGTTTTGTGGAAGCTCCTCCTACGTCACTGTTGGGGACTCCGCTGCTTGCTTTGGTTTACATCTGACCTTAACTGAGAGACACTCCACTCTACAGCATGTTATATAATATATTCTCTAGCTCTTACCGTTGAAGCGCTGCATTTTGTCCGTTCTCGTAAAGTTACCCGTTGGGGAAATCTGTTACAGTCCCAGATTCATATGGTAGCTACATAATCCAAATGCCCTTCCTGTACAAACAAGCCAAAATCTCTGATGGGCTCTCGTCCTCTTGTGACTCGACCCAGAACATTGACAAACAAACCCTCACGTGGACAAAAACCCTTTCAGTATGTACCAGTCAGCAGCAGTCACTCTAAAACAAATCAATCACATCCTAATCAAACATGTTCATGAAGCCACAATTATTTCTTATTGGCGTTTTCAGACTCTGTTGAATCAACAGAGTGCAATCGCCCCCAGGAACAACCTCTTACCAGAACCAAATGTATATAGGAGTGGGAAAAGATTCTGTTTTAAATCAATATTCGCACGGTATAGATTGAACTCAAGGCCTTTGATGGGGCGTTACATTGAATTATTGATAAGTCATAATTTAACTGACTGACCTAAAGCAGAAATTTTAGTGACATAAAGGATGCCTTATCTACACACGATGCTGCGATGCATGATAAAATGGATCCTTTCTATGTTAAAATGAGTTGTCCTAACCATCTGTGGTGTTGCGCAAAATTTCTAGATTAGAAACTATATTTTTTGCGATGTCTCAGCTAAACAGCAGCATAAACTACATTGATTGAAGATCACCTCAGCTGCTGGTTGTGCACTTTATTCAGTGTAAAATGTTACTAATGTGAATTTAAATATCACATACGTGACATTAATTGGCGTACTGAAAGCAAAAGCAGATAGTTTACCTTATCTTAGTTTTGATAGAAATAATTTACTCTAAATACAAATTAAAGAATCGTATTATAAAGGACTAAGGTATCATCTTTAAACAATTTAGATCTACACAATAATGTAGGCTAGTGTATTCTACGGAGACACGAAAGAGACGCAATGGTAGGGGAAAAAAATCGGTGAAAGAAAAAAAATTGATGGGAGAAAAAAATGATAGAAAAAAAATATATAATATATATTTATATTTATATGTGTATATATATATATATATATATATATATATATATATATATATATATATATATATATATATATATATATATATATATTCCTATCACTCATTTTTTTCTCCCATCAATTTATTTGTTTATATATATATATATATATATATATATATATATATATATATATATATATTATTTTTCTTCTCAATTTATTTCTATTGCACTTTCAACAAACCAAAATAGGTACCAAAGTGCTGTACATAAAACACATGTAAACACTCAAACACCAGTTCATGGCGAAGTCTTATTCAGCCACAGCCAACATTTCTGAGCGATTTTTTATGACTCTGCGTTGCCTTCTGCCTGCCCACGACCCACGCTTGTTATAAGGACTCTGAACCTTGCTGTCTGCCCTCGACCCACGCTTGTTATACGGACTCTGAACCACGCCGCCTGCCACTGACCCATGCCTAATACATCACCCTGTGTCTGTCAGCCGCCAGCCCCATGACCTATATTGAATGCTGATGATGTGAGTGCACTTTAGTGCGTGGTTTATGTATGTGATTGAACTGTGTCTATTAAATACTGCAAAACGGATCCCTCTGTGTCAGTCTCGTTACTATATATATATATACACACACATTCATTTTCTTGTCGGCTTAGTCCCTTTATTAATCCGGGGTCGCCACAGCGGAATGAACCGCCAACTTATCCAGCAAATTTTTACACAGCGGATGCTCTTCCAGCTGCAACCCATCTCTAGGAAACATCCACACGCACTCATACACTACGGACAATTTAGGCTACCCAATTCATCTGTACCACATGTTTTTGGACTGTGGGGGAAACCGGAGCACCCGGAGGAAACCCACGCAAAGGCAGGGAGAACATGCAAACTCCACACAGAAACGCCAACTGAGCTGAGGTTCGAACTAGCGACCCAGCAACCTTCTTGCTGTGAGGCGACAGCACTACCTGCTGCGCCACTGCCTATATATATATACCTGAGTTGAAGTCAGAATTTTTAGCCCCCCTGAATTATTAGACCGCTTGTTTATTTTTTTCTCCAATTTCTGTTTAACAGAGAAAACATTGATTTCAGCACATTTCTAAAGATAATAGATTTGATAACTCATTTCTAATAACTGATTTATTTTATCTTTGCCATGATGACAGTAAATATTATTTGACTAGATATTTTTCAAGACACTTCTATACAGCTTGAATTGTCATTTAAAGGCTTAACTAGGTTAATTAAGTTAACTAGGCAGGTTGGGGTAATTAGCCAAATTATTGTATAACGATGGTTTGTTCTGTAGATTACCGAGAAAAGAATTTGCTTTAAGGGGCTAATAATTTTGTCCCTAAAATGGTGTTTAAAAAATTATATTTTATTTATAAATTATATACACATCGACACACACACACATACATACAGCTTTCAAAATATTGGGTTTTCTGCTTTTACAATATTTAGCTGTGTACTTACTGCTGGTTCTTCCCGCCCATCATTCTCACGTGCCTGCTGGAGTGTGCCTCAAAGTTGGCCTCAGCTCTATCAGATAAACAGCTCAGTGACAGACATGAAGGAAGCAGATCTCATGTAATGTTTGTGAGAAATACTACAATAAAAAGAATCTACAAATCTAAGAATAATTCTGTACATCTTCTTTATTGCAGTGACAATAAAATGGTCAATCATGCCTTTTTCCATCACACAGAATATATCCGGGTAATGTGCAATTCAATTTGACCAAACAGCTCCATTTCTTCAATCGGCTCTTAAGGCATGTACATAATGAATTAGTCCATCAACGCTTATTTTGCAGTTTGTGAATCGACTTTTGAACATTATGTCTGTGCGTGGATGTTATCCCATACCCGGACCACATCAGGGCAGTCATGGAGAGCTTCCAGCAGGGTGGACGCTGTCTCTAGCTGAGTCTGGGTCAGGAGAGACGGGGTATGAGACACAAACTCTAGACTAGAAGAGAGAGTGTGGACTCCCAAGCTTTCCAAAGCACTGCGCACAGCCTTCATGGATGTCATGTCACAGATAAACTGAAGAGGAAAGAAAGATGCTTATTAATAACCAAGATCATTTCTCATTAAGAATTCAACAATCTTAAACTATGTCCAGTGATAACACAGCTAGAGGAATTTCTTATAATTCAAGGAGCATTTGTGGACCAAACTGATTCCTGATTTGAATCTTAATTTATTCTGAAAAGCAAACAAGAACATCATTTTAATCTGCTGAAACTGAACTAAACTAAATAAACATTTAACAGTAACATTTAAGAAACATTGAAAAAATAAATTACAGTATATTGAAAAAAAACTAATACATAAATAATTAAAATATATACACACACACACACACACACATATATATATATATATATATATATATATATATATATATATATATATATATATATATATAAGAACTGATATTTATATATATATATGTATCAGTGCTTCCCACAGGTTTGAAATATACATGTGGTGGTAGCCGATTTAAAACACACCATTTACCCACATTATATAAATAGTTAACTATATGCGACAAACAAAACAATTTAATTTCTAATAATAATTGTATTTATTATGTCACTGTTTTTTTTCAATGGGTTGAAGTAAAGAAAAAGACTTTAAAAAGACTAAAATAAAAATAAATACTTTTATACTATTCAGGAGCCATGTGCAACCACTGACAGGTCAAATCTGCTTCTCTCTCTTTAAAGTTCAAAGCAAACTTGAATGCCAAAACATTTTAGATTTGTAAATAAAATAGCTTATGCAATATATTGTTACACCTGGCTCAGGGATGTAACATAATAAGGGAGACGACAAGGAGAAGTATAATCAAAAAGAATATTTATTTAACTCAATTTAAATTATATAATCAAAATATCAGTATCAGTATGTTATGCAAATGTATGGATGCGGTAATTGTTGTCAGTGATAGTGTATGGATGCGAAACAAAGCATAATGGCCAAATAGGAGCGCGGCTCTGGCCAACTGCCAAGTAACAAACTTTCTGTCGGGGTTTAAATAAGGGCGCTGACCAGCATCAGGTGCACTGAAGGCACGCCCCCAATCTAGAATCAAAATCAAACACACAAACAAAACAACGCAGTCCTAACATATATTAACATCATCAAATTAATAAAACAATCAGCAAATAAAAAATAAATGACAGAAAAGTCTAAGTCAGACATTATCTCTAAAAATGATCATAATTGCAAGATTAAAATGAGTATATATTTTTTAAATAAGGCAAATGCGTTGATTAACCATTACTACTGCTGTACATATATTTTACAGCCAGTTTAGACCAGTCGTTTCGTCATTTTTTTGCAAACCCATGCCTCTTTCTTTCCCCCAACACAGTTTCGTGGCCCCTTATGAAGCACTCATGAAACAGAGGTGAGGGGCTGTAGCAGTGAAAAGTGAAAGTACCCACCCCCATTACGTCGGTAGTGATTCACTCTCTGTATTACGCTGCCTGACTGCCTGTGGTTTCAATCAGGTTCGGTGCTGACGTAATGGGAGCGGGTACTTCACTTTTCACTGCTACAGCCCCTCATCTCTGCTCGTGTCCAAACCAAACTTAGATCAGCACAGTTTTCCTCTTGGCAGGTTTTTACAACCTTCATACATGTTGAGAGATTGAGTTGATCAACTTGATGACAGAATATGTCTTATCATAATCCACACAGACGTGACTTAATAAAGCATGAAGTCATGTATGATTTTAATCGTTGCATTAGTCTGAATGTAAACCCTCTCATCAGGCAGCGCTGGAGCAGCGTGAGAGAGCAGACCACAACGCATCTTTGATTCAGTTGAATACTGGTTAACAGGTTTCAGTATTGGAATCTCTGCTAACTTGTGGTCCAGATACCTGGAGAAACTGAGATTTCCTGACAAGATCTGGCATGGAAAGTGTGATCTAATACCTACAACACAATAAATATTTATACTTTTATATTAGACACATCTGATGCTTGTATTTGCAGCATCTCCACGTCCACAACTTCATACATTGGGTTAAGTTAGGCTTTACGGTCTCCTTTACTTCAACCAACCCCATGACGTCAGACACAGCGACATTCCAAGATGGCGGCACCCTAGGTCAAAAATCTTTAGTAAAACATGCCGTTTTCTTCTGAATGGTTACATTAATCGAGTTTGTATTTTCATTAAAGTGGAATCCAATGTACAAAATAAGGTAAACTTGACTGAATGCTTTATTTTCCCTTTAAGTCCATTAAGAAATCAATTTTAGACTAATACAAGGTTAAACAGTAAGGATTTTTCTAATGGCCCTGTATTATCATTAGGAATCGTGTAATTGTTTTGAGTTTTCCTTCCCTGATTAGGGAATTTAATAGAGTATTTGCAGTAAAACGTCTAACAGCTGTTGTGGATTGAATCTTTTTCCAATAAAAGACTTAAATACAAAAAATAAGGTTTTATAAAGATGTATTGTTGGTCATTGGATGAATGTCGGCCCAACGGAGTAGCTTTACTCAAACAAAGAAAAATTAACACCTGTTTAAAATGATTTAAAGGGCACCTATGGTAAAAAATCTACTTTTCAAGCTGTTTGGACAGATCTGTGTGTTGGTATAGTGTATAGACCGTCATACTGGGGTGATATGAACACACCCAGTCCTTTTTTTTCAATTTAACTACAAAAAAAAGGGTCGGCCAATTGGAGCTGTTTTCAAATCGAT